AGCCTAATGCACAATTTATACCTATAGGAAGCAGAACTGAGCTCCACAACCCAAGGCATGGCCCAACACCAGAGAATACTAAATCGCAAAATTGACGTTTTTATAAAATAATTCTTCAAAAAAGCACAAACTTCAATCACGAATATCTTTATGAAGGAGCAAGCTAGAAAAACTTTCCGGTAGATTTTCAGAATGCTTGAACAATTATCTAAGGTAAAAATTTCCTCAGATTTTAAATTCAATTACTTTTTAATGGTGTAAAATCATTTTTAAAAGTTATTACTTTGTCAAAAATCAAGTTTTAAAAACGGTTAACTTGATGACGTCATCAAGGGGTGTTCATGACGTCAAATAATTTGTTTATACAATGTAAACTATAAAAGTGTAAACAATTATTTTCAAGACCTGTGGTCGGAAATTGCTGTATCTTTTATACTTTTGAATCTATGGACAATTAAAAACAGGCTACATTTGACTGGCAAAGCGTCTATCCCTGAATATATGTATGTATGTATGTATCACGACAATCTATCGTAAAACAGGGGTTCTAGAAAACCCATTTCCCGATGATCCTGAGACCTGAAACTTTTTTTGCAGTCGATTTGGTCAACGTCTAGACGCTCTGAAAAATGTCAGATCTCTAACTCGATTTTAACATGGTTATTAAGGCTCCTGAATATGGCGATTTTGGGTTTTTTACCGAATTTCGTATAACAGTGCTGGCGAGTATTTTATGCAAATTTCTTAAAAATCTCAACATAACTATTTTTTATTCCTGTCATCTTTGACATCAAATTAGAATGTTTTGAACTAAAATTAAATCTGCTGAACGACTTCCGATGAGTCTTAATGCCTGAAAAACTCCTGCCGGAGGCGGCGGCCTTCGGCCGCCTCCTCCGGCCGGAGTGCACGCTTCGCGTGCACGAAAGAGGCTTGTAACGTGTACCAAAGGGGGTATAATAGTAAAGGGGGTATAATAGTAAAGGGGGTACATAGTATACCCACAATAAATGCACCGGTCGTGCTTGCCAGCACTGTGATTCATTTTATATTTCATATTTATCCTCAAGCTCTGCACAAGCATTATTTTATACTTTTATAATATATTTTGACAGGAAAACATTCATCAAATAACAGCTTATACTCTATTTAATATAATTTATGTTTAATAATAATTTCAAAATCTATGAAATTAAATTTTCGTTACACTGCACACTGGACCGGGACGTTCAGATTTGTGCCAAATGATAAACTTAAAGGCCACTGCCATTCAGCCAGTGCAGTGGATTTAAAAACATTTCCGAGAAATTTGCGTGTTTAATCGACCTTGAGAACTTAAGGTACTGCTAAAAAATGTTTCTCAGCTTTATGTGTGTTACTGTTAGTGTTACTGTTAGGCCCTAGGCATAACACACTTAGGGGCCATCATGTATATTATTATTAGTACTTAGGACGTCCGCCAAAAATCTCGGATTTGATATGATTGTCTGTTAATTAAATTGTCTGCTAATTGAAGCTCACTGTCGCCCATTTAATAGTATTAGTACTAGTATTTCTCAACTCGTTCCGACAGACCTAAGGCTAAATTAAATCGGCGCGGCGGAAGATCATTCGAATTCAAAACTTTTCCTGATCCTTGCATTAGTGCACAAATTGTTTGCCCCCGGACTTTTTATATAATAACGAACCTCTTATGAGTTTTTCTTGGCCGTCAAGTAAAAACCTAGTTCGATTATGATTATGATCAGCAGCACCAATATTGACACACATATAATTGTCTTTTAAATACTTCCTTGGAGAATCATGTGCTACAAATCTACTATACTGACGTGTTTCTCTCAGTATTATGGTAAGAAGAACACTTTATTAAGGCATAGTTCGAAACAAGAGCAGTTTCTGGTAGTGGTAATGGAAGGTCAGCATTTATCGTATCTTCATATCTGTTTATTTTACCAGTATGGTGTTGACTGTTGATCCATGATCTATCTACATTTTGTAGTACTAGTAAGGGGGAGGGGGTTTCCAAATGATTACGCTAGCGTGTATAATTTTGACACAATAGCTATGTGTAAAACTGATTACGGAGGGGGAGGGGGTTAAAAATTTTCTAAAAAGTGATTACGTATTATACGGAACGATCCCTAAGAATGCTATTTTCGTATCCAATGACTTCATTATAATGAAAAATATATCTGCTGGATTAGTAATAGCAGCTTGATTAACCAAACCACTATAAAGGCTGCAGTATGTGGTCATCTGCTTCAATAGAATAATATCATCTTGACATATAATATGTAGGGCCTGTCGTGATTATCACGACTCGTGATATCGTGGTTCAAATTAGTTCCACTGAGATTTGATAGTTCTCATCATTCTGCGGTCTCTATGAGTCTATGACTATATATTGTCATATCGTTCAACTCCTTAAGAAAAATAGGTGCTGGGCATGTGAAAATTTACAGTTTTTCAGATATTTATTTGGTTAACGAGGTATCCTACTGATAATATGCGAGCTTTAGCTTTTACGAGATAAAGATTAATAGTGAGAAATGGTAGCTCTTTTTAACTAAGCCACAATTTCTCCAAGTTAGCAATCCACGTTTTTATTTTTTACCATTAGTATTCGTTTATTAAACTCTGATTTTAGCGATGATACTGTTCTGGAACAATACCTACTACATGAGTCTGGCGGCGGACAACAACAGCATAGCACAGTTCCAGCCACTCCCCACCTACTACTACATAATCAACTACTTGGTCGCACTGGTTTTTATGTCTGCCTTCTTCATTGGGACCACCTTGAATCCTTTTGTTATCAAGTTCAACTGGAGCAAACGCAAAGTCATCATATCTCTTTTGTTTATATTTAACGCCAGTAAGTCAGCAAAAACATGGATATCTTTTGAATTGCAACCTAATCAGTTTATAGTTATAAGGTTATACTGCCAGGGGTAAGTAGAGAAAGGGTTGTTATGACAACAAAATATTATCATCGTTATATTTCAGGTGCTGATATGGTAGTGTGTGTTCTGATACCACTGTTCTACGCTTACCTCATGGTTCAGCCCAAGATAGTGTTTTACAACTACCACTACGAGCACGTAATAGTGGCTATCATGTGTACCTTCGGGTGTACTTCACAGGTATTATGTAAGCACGTGATCTATAAAGAAGTAACTAACTAAGCTAACTTGTTGTTTAGCATACAAATATCCCACTTAGTTCTTTATATATGAACTAGTCCACTCTGAGTAAGTTTAAAATGTTCTACAATAATCAAATGCATGCAAAACGCATAGTTCTGAGTTGCTGTAATCGTACATTTCTTATTAAAAACGCATGTTTTCAGGTTTGTACGACCTTACTAGGGGTATCTCGGCTGATTATCATCGTGTCTCCGTTCTTCAAGATCAACTCTAAGAAGATTTTGTGGTATCTCGGAACTCATCTCTTCTACATGTTCTTTTTGGTGAGACATAGATATGAGAATTAACTAATTAGTTAATTAATTAGATTTGGGAAAAGCAAGATTTTATTACATTTACATTTGAACAAACGCATAAATATATCGAGTTTTTTTAGTCCTTTCAGAAAACGTCTCCCCTCCATTATAACAACCTCTCTCTCTCTCAGATCATGTTCGTGATACTGATCCTAACAGGACACATTAAACAAAACATCCTCCACGAGCTGATCCTAGCCTGCTTTTCAGTTACCTTCCTCCACTGCATCATCGGGTCCGCCTCATCTGCCATCACTGTTGTAATGCTCTATAAGATCTCCTTCAGACAAGAAGACAAGCAGTTGGTTAGAGAGAAACGAAAGAGTGCTATTACCATCTTACTGATGAACCTGCCGCACTTCGTTACCTCTGCATGCATCTTAACTTCCATAGTCTCTCCTGGAGGCATCTCCTGGTTCGACATCAATTTTATCTTCTGTCCAATCCTGACAGCCACTCTCAACCCTCTTCTGGTCGTTACGAGGAGTAATGCTGTTAAACAATTCATCAAGGATAAGTTGCACGTGCAATTAGAAAAACTCACCAAGGTGTACCACAGGCCCATCATTAAGATGAATATAAAGGGCCCTCGGAAGCAGCTTAAAGCTACTAAGTCTATTTCCGTACCTGCTACTGGAGCCACGTTTAAGAATGCATCTTACATGACTTCTGTCTGAGATAATGTCAATGACTGTACCAGCCTAGGTCAGTGATGTTATGATTTCTATTGTCTAATGATATTAGTGTTATGCTGAACCACACCAGTATTATTGTTTTCCGAACAAAGCAGAACCGATCAACCGAACTGAATTTATGCAAACCGAAGCGAGCCAAACGTACGAAACGATCGAAAACTGAACCGAGCCGAACAGAACCGAACCGAACCGAACCAAACCAAACCAAACCAAACCAAACCAAACCAAACCAAAAGGAGCCAAAATGAACCAAATCGAACCGAACCAAAACGAACCGAACTTTTGGAAGCTTATAATATAAATTGCATGTGACAAATTAGGATGGAAAAAGTCTCGCGGTCCACGAGGATTTTTGTGCTGCAATGCTGCAATGACCCTAAATTTTGAGATGATTATAACACATAAATGTAAAATTATTCTCAAAGAATGATAAACTGAAGTGTTTTTCAGGAACCTCTGTTTTAAGGCAGATTGTGATCGTGAAGTATGGATGTTTAATGTAAATATTATATATATATAATTACATAACTAGTACTAGCGAATGAGAACGCCTTAGTTTTACAATTTGATCTTGTAATCGTATTATAGAACTTTATTATATTATGTTATAGAATAAACAAAAAAGGGTGATGTTTTTGCAAAATTAAGAGATTGGCAGAACTGGACAGTTTTAGTGTCTTCTTCTTCTTCTTTAAAACCAAAATAAAGCGCATTAACGTTTCCAAATGACAATGAGAATTAGAGACACTAACCAAGTACAGATTTACTCAATTTTTGGGTTTTGAAAAATGAAAAGCAATTCCTTCAATTTTAATTATTCGTTTCATAATCATAACAATATTTCAACCATAAAAATATTTCAACCTGTTTAAGCAGATGAAGGGATGGTCGCATTTAACCTTTTAAAGTTACTATAAACAGATATAACGACAATTACAAAGAGATTTCAATTACAAAATTATCTTTTTTTTACAAAGAATAACATCTGAATATTCAAAAACTCAAACTGTAAATTTAAATTTCACTCATCTTTCAATAAAAACAATGAACATAAACGAAACACTCTATTAAAACATTTCGGCCCTCAGTTCTTTGGCCTTTTGTATACCCAGCCGTAACTATTTCCCCATAAAAAATGCCCAACATTTCAATTTCAACTATTTTACAAATTTTGGTCTTTTTGCTATAAACGGTGAATAAATCCGTATTTCAAATTAGGCATCTATTCAGGTTCAACTATTCCCGTTAAAAAAATCTCAATTTTCGCTGCAAAAAAAGACATGCAATATGATTAATAAATGTCAAAATATGGCAGCCTACAGTGTTTCGGCGGCCTTTTGCTTTTTCGGCCAAATACTGATAAATAACTTCGGGCCGGGGTAATCAGCGCAGACAAAATTAAACCTCTGATAATGTTAGTAATTACTCAAAAACACATCTAGAGCTATTGCGGGCTCTGAAGAAAGTCCCTTTGGTACTCTACAAAGAACTCTAGAAGACAAGCAGAGGACCAAGCCTGAGTAGGGCAGCTCCCCGGGCAATGCTGTCCTCCACCGTTAGTTAGCTCTGTTAGACCTGGTGGGAGCTTGTTAGCATATATGGTATCTCACTACTGTAGAACTAGACATTTTAGTTTTTGCATTGAGTTGAAGTTAAAAGGTCTACATTCAATGGAGATTGAAATTAAGTCCCCTTGTAAAACAGGACATATATAATGTTTTTAAAAAACGATGTATTTAACAACCTCGATATGGTTCAGCTGCAATCATGGCACGATGGAAGGTGAGAATGGTCGCAAAGAACTGATCTATCTCCTCCTTGCTTCCAACCACCTCCTCTCTATCTTGCTTGATGAACTCTGAGAGCTTGGCACGTAGATAGAACCCCATACACCACACCCATTCGGGGCCCTGTGGATAAATTAAATAAACTTAATATCATAAATATTTGCATATTAGTCAAACTAAAGTTCTATACGTTGGTGTACTAATGATTCCAGGTCCAATTAAGTAATAACAAACACCTGGAATATTACAGGACCATGCTTTATTGTTCCTCTTATTTCCTTCCTTACAAAAACTAGTACCGTTTACACGATCACTAAGATCGGTAACTACCAACATCCACTCAGACAAAATTAGAGCAAGTAATCATCGTCAAGTTGGGCAGATAACTGGTGGAGGAGTATCGTAAATATCGACAAACTCTAAATCATCATTCATAGTCCCTGGATTGACTTGAACCTGCTAAGTTTAAGTAGTATTTGCGTTATTTAAATGAGTGGTAGGAGCAGACCTGGTGTAAATACTTCCTCCTCTCACCCTGGTAATGTGGCAAATGTGCCGGCCACCCATTGGAGCAATGTCAAGCACTATGTAAGTATCAGATTATGTTAATCCTGATACTAAAGGCCGTTAAAATGAAATGTTAGAGATCTGAATACTAGTTGTGATATTGATAGTATGTCGATCAAGATTAGCGTTCCTCCTTCAGTCAAGGTAATGGACAATGTTTGTGGTTAGATGTATGTTTACAAATTCATTCCAGCTATAAACAGATAAACTGATCATTTGTCTTCTATAGATGCTGCCACTTTGGATACAGCAAGCCCGGAATGTGAACAAGATCAAGAAAAAGAAGAAAAAAGTGTTGACTCTCAAAGTATAATCTGACCTAAATTCATTTTTCGTTTGACTTCATAGTTCATAATAATCTGTTTATCCGATCAGTCATCAATGATATACGCATATTAATTAATAAACTCTAATACCTCTAAATTGGCCTCTAAATCACTGAAATGTTGACCCTGGTAACTGGTGGCAGCAAAGAGCGGAGCTAGAGGAGGAGGTATGTAAAGACACACTGGACGAGACGCAAAGTCTGGTACACGAGCTCGAAGAAACCGCCGAGAGAAGATCAGAGTCCATCTACTCTATCAACACCAGGTACACTGTCTTGTGATGATTATGTTAGCACCCAGGGAGACACCAGGGAGACACCAGGGAGACACCAGGGAGGCGGGGGGGGGGGGAGAGTGAGCGTTTATATGTAAACTATGTGTGGAGAGCTGGTTACAATATGCTCCACCACAACGTAGTTATGAAATAGTAATATGAAGCACATTTTCCACACCAGGCTGATAGTAATGGAGGAGGCGACGAGGAAGCTAAACCTGGCCCACCCTGATCCTGAGTTTACAGCACTACAACTATATCTGCTACTGTTAACAGTGCTGCTGGGAAGTGGGGCGGCAGTGCTCTATGATATGATGGTGGTGGATGAGGGGGAGAAGTTGAGGTGGATAGACACTGCTGGATGGGGATCCTGCTAATGAACATGCATTTTTGGTAGACTAATTATTTGGTTTTTTAAAGATATCGCCATTTCGACGAACTCTTAAAATGCGCATGTGATGTACAATGTACATGTTCAAATTACCAATATCACCATTTCAGAATAAGTTACTATTTATTGACTTCATTACCTGATGATAGTTAAGACCATGTGCGGTCCTGAAGTTACTCCCATTATCACTAGTATCATACTGAGGCTCGTAATCCTCGTCACCGGGGCACAGAGTTGACATTCCCAATAGTCCGGCCAACTTGGCTCCAATGTTTCTCAGGGCCAGGGTCAAGTGTGACTCTTCAAACAGTTCTGATAAATACATTGTGAGGGATAAATAATAAATATGATATATATTGGATATTTGTCGCCAAGAGTTTCAGAGTGACACACTTGTAGAGTAACATCCGTTAGTTCTCAACTAAATCTTAACTTAGAACAGATGAGATGACGAACAGTTCGAAATAGTATCCACTAATAATTGCTGGTACTTACCAGGAGCGATTACCATGGCAAATGTCTGATTGGGTCTAAACTTTTCGTCGCACCCAGACTCACTACCAACAGTGTCCTTGTAGTAACCGGAAGTGCTCCAAAACATCTCGTCAAAACTATCTTTGATCATCTTAGACCACTCTCTCAGGGTAACAACCCTGGTGGATGTCCCTGTTGTCATGGTAACCTCTGAAGTGGTCCCCACGCCGATCTCAAACAAGTCTGCAAGCCAAGAAACAGTTTGGTAACCCATAGCAACCAGTTCTATTGCGCTACCGTCGCGTGGGGTCGCTGGGATTCCTTTGTTACCTGAAAAATAAAAAGTTTTGTCTCAGTATGGACACTTCAGTGGAGTTTAAAAACGAACCAGTTTGATGAGATCGAAAAATACAAAATTTTGAATTAAAATATTTACATAATGGATTCGGCCATTTAAAGTGAAAGAAAGTACATTCGAAAGAATGCAATCTGCGGGTATTCTTGAAATATGCCAATACTCGGGTATTCTGAATATTGTAAATATGTTAATATATATTCTGACCTGCTCTAAGACTGCTCCCCACCTTGTCCATCCAGGTCCCACAGTTGTGTTTAGAGCCCCCTCTCACAAACCCGGTCACATGGTTCACTCCTGCACACATGTTGAAACCTGCGTCTAGTAGATGCTCGTCTAACTGCCGCCCTGGTCATTGCATGATTTAGTTTAGATATGGGTCCATATTTAGTTTCAATGTGGAGATTTCTGGTTTTCCATTTCATGCATTGAGCACTCCACGGATTATTAAGTCACTAATTAAATTGATGAATAATCACTATTTTTACTATGTTAGATTTGTAAGTTTTTAATTCAAGATACGCTATAAAGGGTTTAAACCGGCATTTTCCTCCCTAAATTGGATTCCAGCCGCATGCCTTCTCAGTACTTCATTGATAATGTCCAGTACTGTGCAAACCTGCGGGATTGTTGATCACTTAAAACACACCACATAATATAGAATAACTTAAACTCTGGGCCGTATGAACCATGCTATTACACAACACATTAGACAACCGAAAGAAATTCAGACAATAATCTTACAAAGGAGGATTTAGCGGCAACAGGGGTATCGTCAGTGTTGTACAGACGATATACTGACTCGTGGAGAATGGATGGAAGATGGTCATACAGTAACTTCACACTCCTGCACCACCTGCAGGGAGCTGTGTTAGTTTTACTATTGAGTTACATATTGTAATCACTGTATTCGTAGAGGACGTTGCGGCTGCCTTTCTTTCTGCCAGGAATAAACTCGATGGATGAGGAAGACATAGTGGTATAAGATAAACACAGGCGTTGCAGGTTTATATATTATTCCCGCTAGCTGATTGAGATACCGAGCATGTGAAGGTTCACATCACTGTATTGTCGTATAGCAGGTCATTATGGATGACTTGATCCGAACCAGTTCTCGTTAGGGCTCCTCGTTGCGTACGTAAGTCTGTGGATCACATGTCTGCCAGGCCCCATAGCAAGCACTCCATGAGAGCCCCGGCTCAGATCACGTCATGATATTAGAACTAGTGAACTAAGATCATCTGGTAGGGATTGAGGTATATTTTCGGACTGAATCTCTACCGGACTAAATCACTACCAGTAGTGATATTTGGGTGGTAGTGATTCCGTCCGGTAGGGATTCAGTCCTACAATGAACGGACCGAATCACTACATGACTGAATCCCTAACGGACTGAATCACTACCAATCACTATTGGTAGGGAATCTCTACCGGACTAAATCACTACCAGTAGTGATATTTGGGTGGTAGTGATTCCGTCCGGTAGTGATTCAGTCCTACAATGAACGGACCGAATCACTACATGACTGAATCCCTAACGGACTGAATCACTACCAATCACTATTGGTAGGGATTGAGGTATACTTTCGGACTGAATCACTACCGGACTAAATCACTACCGCTAATATCTAGACCTAACCACTTTGATGTGATCCCTACTGAACTTTGCAATAAAGGCATAATTATTCGTATTTCATTAGTTAATTATTAGTTCTCAGTAGTAGCTGCGAGGGTCTTCATTTTAGACTTGGAGCGGTGGGCTGCAATTTCTGCTGGTTGAGATTCGTGATCATGAGGGGTAGCAGAACAGAAGGTGTCCTGGACAAGGATCAGGCGGGACTTGCACTTGTTGCACTTCCAGTAGGTCTTGTCTTCCCTCTTTCTGTTAAGGTGGTAGAGGTGACCATCGTAGAGGACGTTGCGGCTGCCTTTCTTTCTGCCAGGAATAAACTCGATGGATGAGGAAGACATAGTGGTATAAGATAAACACAGGCGTTGCAGGTTTATATATTATTCCCGCTAGCTGATTGAGATACCGAGCATGTGAAGGTTCACATCACTGTATTGTCGTATAGCAGGTCATTATGGATGACTTGATCCGAACCAGTTCTCGTTAGGGCTCCTCGTTGCGTACGTAAGTCTGTGGATCACATGTCTGCCAGGCCCCATAGCAAGCACTCCATGAGAGCCCCGGCTCAGATCACGTCATGATATTAGAACTAGTGAACTAAGATCATCTGGTAGGGATTGAGGTATATTTTCGGACTGAATCTCTACCGGACTAAATCACTACCAGTAGTGATATTTGGGTGGTAGTGATTCCGTCCGGTAGGGATTCAGTCCTACAATCACCGCGGAGAATTGATTGAATTCTCCGCGGTAAATCGGAGTTTTTAGTTTTACAGTAAAATGTTCCAAAAATAAAGTAAAACACCTACCACCATACAGCATCTCTACAGTTGTATCTGGGCTTGTGTCCTCTCTCGCTCAGCAAGTTGGGTATCAGACCATATCTTAGAGTCCGAGCAAACCCAACCACCAGGTCTCTGATGGAGCCGGTAGTTAAATATCATCTAATTAATTAATATTTGATTAATTAATTAATTAAACAGAGAAGGAGATTAAGTGTTACATTAACTACGTTGCGACGAGGTTTCCAGTGGGAGACTTTTAACAGAATTCTACTTTAAGAGTGAGAGATTTTGATGATTTGATAGACCATCCCGCCAAAATACCAAAATAGACACTAACATCATGAGATGCCAAACTAGAGTTTACAACTTAAAGCCTCACCTGGCATCTTCAAGTCGCCCAGTTGCAATAAGCAAGCCAGGGAGGGAGATGAAGGTGTCTCTACCCCAGCATCTCATAAAACCATGCGAGAAATGCGGCAATCCAGCCGCCATGCTCACAACAGGATCCTGAGAAAATTAGCAATAACTTTAATTCACCCTGTAGCGACTGACCCCTTGGTTATGTAACCTAAAGAGTTACTGGTGGGTCCACCGGAGTTCACTGATATGTTTTCATATTTCCTGTATATCGGGCGGTGCGGAATCAGATTGTGGAACTTATTCATTACAGAGTGGGCTAATTTATTCATCACTGGAAAATAATATGACCGAATATAGAATAGGGTAGTGTGCGGATTTATACACATCAGGTTAAATGACAAATTAAGTTTTACAGGTATCGATGTTTTATTTTTGGTTTTGAAAACAGAGTCGGATCATCTTTATTTTAATTTTTGGGACCAAAGTACAAGACGATTGTTGCATGATAGAACATAGAAGTATACGATTCAAAAATGTACAGACTCCCTTATATAACACAAAAATTAATTCACAAACGTTCAGAAGGTTTTGAATTCTGAAGCTTTAGTGCTCACCAGTGCCTAATCTTGGTTTCATGGCAACAGTGTGTCTCTGTGTAATCTGACAAGGCTACAACCAAATAACCGAGCTTGCCAAACGTGGCTACTTCTCCGCTCTATCTGTGGTATAACTTGATCGGAACTCCATTTAGAGGGCGTACTGTGATATTCCCCATCCTTGGAGGATCTTTTATTTCTGGATGTGGGTTCACAAATTCAAACCTTCTGAATATGTTTGAGAGAAGGATTTTCATCTCCAACATGGCAAAGTTTTTGCCGATACAATTTCTCAGGCCAGCTGAGAAAGGCATGTACGTAAATGGTCGGATGTTTTTACCAGACTCCCCGGAGAACCTATCTGGAGTGAACACTGAAGGGTTCTCCCAATACCGACCATCATGGTGAATAACATCTATAGGGATAACAAGTTTGGTTTCTTTCGGAAAGTGCACACCTTCAATCGTAATATCATCGTTCTTACAAACTCTCCACGTTCCCATAACTGGCCCTCTCATCCTGAGACTCTCCTTGATAACATTCTCCAAGTACTCAAACTTAACAATGTCCTCGTACTCCAAGCACTCCTTCCCCTCAAACACCTCATCAACCTCCTCCTGTACCTTTCTACACTCTTCCGGGTGGTTAGAGAGAAACTGGACAACTGTTGCCATGGTGATAGCTGTCGTCTCCATTCCTGCTACAAGAAATATTGAGTAATCGTCTACCAGGTCGTCAATGCCCAGTTGGTCTGAACATTCGTTTGCTCTGATAATGTGAGACAGTATGTCTCCGCTGTTGTCATTTTTCATCCTCATCTCAAGGTGGGTTGTCATGGCTTTTTTGACAGTCAGTGCAAGATTTTTATATCTCAGCTTTAACGCTTTATCGTTCCAAGGCAGGGAAAATTCGAAAGGTTGTTTGATTGCGATGGCAATGACCTCCACCATCAAATTTGCCAGATCTTGAGCGTTCTGTCCTTGTTCTTCAACCAACTTTTGGTTCCAATCAAATCCGCAAATAGAAACAGCCATCATAGCACTCCTGCCCAAATCGCTTGTAATATCAAACACTGTCCCACCCTTTTTGTTTTCAAGACCTTTCACCAAGTCGAGGGCCACTTCGTTCATGCCCACCATGATGTTCCTAAGGAAGCTTTTCTTGAAGGCTGGGTCGATGATCCTACGTTTTACCCGCCAGATTTCCCCTCCTTCAAGGGCTAGTATACCGTACCTCCCAGATAGTTTCTCACCGCAGGCCTTGTTTATAACATCGAATGCATCCAGGAATTTTCTGTCTTTCGGAAAATTAATTGCATCAGTCATAATCTTTTGGACAACGCTTAAATTCGCACAGAATACGATATTCACATGAAAAAAGGACAGCCTAAACATGTCCCACCGATATTCCTTGTGGTACTCCGAAGTGAGTTGAATCAGGTTTATGTTAGGAGATCTGGACTTTCGTGCATTCAGATCAGGGAGATGCCCCATAAACCAGATCCAAGAGAGAGGTATAGGTGGGGAGGGGATGTGTCGGTATTTGGACCGCTTGTAGAACAGATACAAGTTCAGGAGCGTGTAAGCCAGAGCAAGGAGGAATACAAGCTTCAGTAGCAAATACATGCTGGTTCAGGGATGAATCTGGGATTCGGTTTAGAGTTAATAGTGAGAATTCCCTCTTGACTTTAAACGATAAAAACCATGGTCGTAGAAGAGCGTAAATAATTCATATTGAAATAACGTATTAGTTTGATGACACGGTTTTTGTCAAAAAGTAAGAAATTAGTTTTCTAATAAAGAAGAAAGTGTAGTGTCCTCAAAGTTAAGAGAGCAGTCCCACAACCAAATAAGAACTGTAACTTGTCCTCTTAAAATTTTACAAGAATAAGTTAAATAAGAGCAAACTTTCAATTTTGAAGAAAAAGAAGCATTTGAAACAGTGAACCAATTTTTGTAGCCCAAACTTGTTCCTTACGCAATGAAACTACCGGACCACGATGTATGCGGGGACTTGCCACCCCATGGCAACATTATATCATGTTTCAAGGTTCAGGAGAAACTTCACAATTGAATTAGGTAGAAACCAGATATGAGATCACATGGTTAGGTATGTACACGAAAAATTACGTGCGCAATGAAATGTTTTACCAAGAGGCAAGAACACAATTTCCAACAGAGTGTAAATCAATTGTGTAACAATTGAATAGTGCGAAGTTTTAAAACGAATTGACCATCTGTAAAGTAGGTTATAGAACTCCTGACCCAACGAGTGTCAAGAGTTCTGTAACGTGCTTATGGTACGCCGTACGGCACAAGACAACAGTCTTGGGGGACATTGTCCAATTAATCTTAATTTTGGGGACCAATGTATGAATGTATAAGACGATTGATGCATGATAGAATATTTAAATCGGATATAACTGTTCTATATATTATCCATAAGTTAATTTTGAGACATTTAATAATATTAATAAAGACCGGTGCTCAAAACTGAAACTACTTCTACTTCATTTAACATTTAAGAGTGTACTCAGTATTCTCCCATGATCATAGTATAATGTATAAATGTCCGTTATGTAAAAGTTGTTCTCTCACTCTTGTTTACGCTAATATAATGTAACTTGCCCATGTAAGAACTACCCATGCGATAACTACATGTTATCGCATGGGTCCTACATTTAGGCTGTGATTAACAGGTAAATAGGGGTGTGATAACTCCTGATAGTGATATCCCACTGGTGTTAACAAATGTTGAATGCCGAACGAATGTTGTAATTAGGACTAACCTAGGTATGATATCTAACGAAGCAATGAAATATACAGAAAAGCAGATTAATTTCATTCATGGTAACTAAATAAACTGAAAGCTTTAGGATGTCACATCAGCATTTGTCGATGCAAGCGCAACAAATTCATAGCCAAATGATTATAACCAAAGCACATTTGATTAAACGAAGTTCTCACTGCAGTAATATAGTTCCTTATCAAAACAAGATAAGGATGCGTACTCTAGAAAGTTTGACTCTGGAATATTATATGTAGTAATATTATCGGTCATTATTTTTCGATGTAAATGCTGCGTTCGCTAGCATCATTTCGTAGATCATCGGAGAATGCATTTACATCACTGCTTGTCGTGTGATAACATGAGTTACATAACTCGTCAAACTCGTTATGTAACTCGTTTTATCCAACTCGTCAAACTCGTTGAATAAAACATGTTATCACACTCCAAGCAGTGATGTAACTGCTTACTCACCTTTTCATACGGGGAAACAGGTATCCCAGTGTCTCCCACCTTTCCCATCATCTGAATTGACGTTAGAACAAGCTGCTCCACAAACCAAGAATTAGTTTCTCTTTCTGTATTGCTTAACCAGGGAATGAGTGTATCAATCTGTCGGAGACAGGCCGAGTAAACAGAACTGATGACAGCGTCAAACACTCGGGGTCTGGTGTGGTTAGGTACTGCTTGAAGAGACGAGAAAACCTTCTCAAGGAAGAATCCTGCAATTAAAATAGTTTTTAGTTGGAAGCACCACGGCTATAAGCTCGACAGACAGGGCAAATAACTGTTAAAACTAAAAATAAATCATCGACGTTTGAGTCGTATTATCTCAGATTTGAGCAAATAAAATAATTTGAAAACAATGCTAGAGAGTGGGAAAGTTACCTAAATTAATGTCTTTGTTCTTCAATCTGTTAACTGAGTATTCAGCCTGCCACCAGCCATCACACAAGTTACGACAAAGAGCGTGCCCCATGTTATTCTCCCTCTTTACTTCTTCCAGCACGTGTAAGAAACCTGGTAAATAAGTCACGTGTAAAAACCTGGCGAATAAGTCACGTGTAAAAAACCTGGCGAATAAGTCACGTGTAAGAAACCTGGTAAATAAGTCACGTGTAAAAACCTGGTGAATAAGTCACGTGTAAAAACCTGGCGAATAAGTCACGTGTAAAAAATTTGGTGAATAAGTCACGTGTAAAAAATCTGGTCAATAAGTCATGGTTGTCAGGTTGTGACTTCATAGTTATGACCTTATTGTTGTGACCTCATGGTTATAAGACCATCATAACCATTGGTTATGATGTTCTTATAACTATCTTCTACAAAAGTATTGTAAATTTTCCTAACCTCAAGGTTGGCACCCAGGGCTGAAATTTAGAAATAACAAGAAAATTGTTACGAAAACTTAAGCACTTCCCAGTTCACATAGCATTTCATCTATACTTTTTAGAATTAAAAGTCTCATTTCAGGTGTGTGTAATTAGATATTAGATAAGTATTTGAATTGAAAACACGATATATTTTCATTTACAATTTGTCTTAACAAACCACTGCAGAAGACGTAAATAATTAAAATTGAACAGTCTTTATGATCAAACATGCCTAGTATTGTTAATGATTACGGAAATAAATATAATATTTAAATAATAAACTTGAAGGGCAGTTATAAGCAGTTTTTATCTCATCATTTCATCTTATCTTAGTGATCATGATCAGATTACCAAAAACTAGCTCACGTAACGTGAAGTGTCATATTTACAATTTAGAGTTTCTATTTCACTGATCTTCGCTTACTTGTGGCCCTTCGTTCACCAAAATAGTGGCGGCGGGTGTTACCTTTCCCGCGCACAAGACGTTTCTGAGATGAAAACATTTGCAAATATAGTCCAGAGATTTAACACAGCCCAGGACTCGCTGCCTGAATATAAGGTCCTGACAAAGAACAGCGAAGTCTAGCAGTGGAGACAGACGTAGCATCAGGATCACGAACTCTTCCCCTTCTCTATCCACTGATCCACTGAAACCAAGAGACTTTGGTGAGTTTTTAATTTTTATAGATAATATCTTTATCATATGTATTTTCAGTAAACATTGGCTAGCACTTCGGGCCAGTCCCCAATAAAAAAAGAAACTTTCGGATACCAAACACGACACACGTGTAGTCCAACTCCTCTATGCTATAAAAGTTGTCAATTTTGTGATACAGACTGAGGTTTCAGTGTATTTTCATAATTCCACGTACCTGTTAGCGGAGGACACGAAGAGCATACACACGTAGGGTATCATCACACAAATGTTGACTAGAGCAAGTAACGAGTTTAGCTTTAAATCTGCTGCATGAGTCTCAGCATTAACATAAAGTGATGTCTCTTTTCGTTGTTGCTGAAGAAGATTAACACGAGTTTTTCTAAAGTACAACTTGTTATAGCGATAGATTTTTCCAGAACCCCTTCAGCTCGAATCTCGACAGATAAAATCACGACGCGAAACCATAAGACGACATTTTCCCAAATCAGAACATTTAAGACTATTCTGGCAGGTAGTCACACTAACCTTGACAAGTTTGTCTCCGAAGAGACTGATATGACGAGCTTCCTTCTGGAGTACTGTGTCCTCTTTTTGAGCTGAAATATTAAAACATCATAACCGAGAACGTGAAAGACACATAACATCTTATTATACTTTGAAACACCAAGAAATAAACGATATTTCTAACGGTGGTTCAACCAATGCAACTATGTAGAGGGAACATTTAAAGATTACCTGAGTAAACTTTGAGGGTAAGAATGGCACTGAAGACACACGTGAAACCCAGTGATGTAGCGATGAGTATTAGAAGTGATGTATCGTGATTGTTGTTTCCATCTCTGGATATAAGTTAAGTAAGTAAACAAAATTATGACATTAACCATCGATTAAATTTCCAGGATCAATATATTAAATGACTATCCGCTTTTTAAACTTAGAATAAGTTTAGAATAAATCACATCGACAAACTCCAAACAGCTGTCACAAAAAGTCTTGCGACTGCGCACCTCATGAATGTGCAAGACAGTCTGCTGAACGAGAAGTTGAAATCTGTAGCAGTAGAGGCGGGAATTATCACATTAATCAGAGCAGGCACTCCCCATGACACCGACCAGAGGATAACGTTGTGTCTAAACTTGGGGTGCTCCAGCGGCATGAGCACTACAGCGAGGTACTGCAGGAGGGGTTATGATGAGGGGGAATGGTTTATAATGAGGGGGGCTAAGGGAGGGGTCTATTAATGAAGTTTCACTGTAGTCTGTAGTTCATTTTTATTTTATTTGTATCGGTATTTGAAAAATTTTTAAAAATGAAGAGAGAGGGAAATATAACCTGGTAAAACTGTGTGGCACATATAAAGCTGATACCGAGCACAACCAAGGTCACGTGAGCATATCCAGTAATCCAGCAAACTGGCTCAGACAAGATCCAGTCACCTCCTGGAGACAGAACCACGATCAGGTTGATGAGGCCGTCCAGGAACAGGGCTAGGCAGTTCTTCAGGACAATTTGTAGCCAGTACCTTAACAGTTATTGAAAAGATGATGTTTGGTTAAAGCTTTCGTGTATCAAAGAAATGTATCGTGTGTTAGATAAACCGCCATTGTGCCATGTTGCGCTTCAGCGCTTGTGTTACGTTTAAGCACACATCAGCGCTATTATTAGCACCATGTAAACATACAATGTGTCGGAACATTATGATGTAAAGTTATAAATTTATATTATTTAAAACTCTAGTCTCTACTTCAATACCTGTACTTTCCCCCATTTCCTGGAGACGTCTCCTTGACTAAGTTTAGGAGAACAAACATCCCCAGCGAGCAGCACAGTCCCCCAGCTGTCAGCACAATAATGAGGTACAGAGAGATAAACCCCGCTGATACCCCACTTCGAGCTTCACTCATCTTCACAACATGGCAGTGATATGGGAGACGAAGTGGTTGAGTTGGAGTTTGGTTTTTTTTCTGAGTGTTATTCCCGAGTTGTAACTTCTTGGAAGCGATACAATCAAAATAGAAGCAGTCGTTAAAAGAAGTGCACAAGTAACGGTGATATACACAAGTCTATCAGATAACTGAGAAAGTGATGTATTGCTGCTCCCCTGATATGATTAACAAAACACATTCTCTCAGTGTCACCATGGCAACCGTGCGTAACGAGGATAAGATGGACAAGTCACAATATTGTTATGAGCCGCAACCATTGAACTAATTTGTAGCCTAATCTTCATCGTCGTCAGTCTTATATATCTGTCAGAGGGGATTTGCTCAGCCTGTAAATCGGCTTGTATACAATTTGGCTAACAACCACAACAGCTTCAATTGAAATATAATACTTTAGATTTTGGGTGATAGTATATAGACTATAGAGGCTCATGTTACATCAAATTCAACATTAGCGTTGTAAATTGTGAAAGCAAGACGATTGAATGTGAAATATTAAAATAATAACAATACATAAATACTAAATAGTTCATATAATAGTTTTTCTTTCACAAGATGGTTTTATTGGTTTTTATTAGTTAGGGAAAAGTCTTCGCCACAATATAATTTTTAACCATTCGATCCAGTTTAAACTTTTGACCCTCAGTACAGATATTATGATTATGTTTTGTAAATGATTTAAGAAATCCTATAATAGGATTGCGGGGATCTTTCTTTACATAGATCTGATCGACCGATCACAAAATTGTAGGCCAACTCAAAGAGCAATCTTCTTCTAGAATCACTATTAAACATAATCAATCAGAACCGTTACCGGTTATACCCAAATAAGGGCTGAAAAGAAATCAGCTATGTAGAGGTAATGGAAAATCGGGATGAGTAAAGTTACTATAGTTCAACAGAGCAAAGTCGGCTTTATAAATATGGTAGAGCTTATCCGTAACCTCTGAGCCCAAGTCCTTGAGCCACTGTTTGGCGAACAGAGTGGATTTCTGGAAACGAGGATCGGATGATTTGTCGTAGGATCCCAGGAGGGGAGTATCAGTCGCGTTTATCCTACTCCAAACCTCTTGGCTGAGTCGAGTGGAATGTTCGAGAGGAACAATTAAGTCATACATCACGTGGGGGGTGCAAAGTGTTACGGTTTGACGGGCGAAATGTGCATCACATCTGTAACCCTCCTTCTTAATCAGATACTGGGCAAACTCTGCGAATGTTGGGTAAAGTTTTTCAACCAGTACTGGATCTGTTATACCTCTCATTTCCCGGATAATGTGCATCCCAATACCTCTGAAACTACCTCCTTGTGTGATTTCATTTGATAACTTGTCTCGAAATCCGGAAACCATCCTTGTCCACGGATTACGGACAACTACAAAACTGAATGCGTTCTCTAACTCTGTTTTTGTAACACGATTGTCATCCAGCATTTGTTTAATCCTACGATTTTTAGACATACGGCCGTGCACAAAAGCGACCCTGGAGGGGTCGATCTCTCTATCCATCAGTTCCCCCTCCGCTTCTAGCAAAGAAATTATCCAATTGGAACACCCCGTTTTAGGCGTTCCCGTAAAAATTGTGTTTATTTTTGGGAAAAAGTATGTTCTGATCGAGCACAGTTCCCAATGATTAGGAGGATCGTATCGGACGTTTAACAATGCCATGCTTTTGCTGAACTGAGCATGAGCCCACTCTTGGGACGGGGGTTCCAGGTTCAAGCTATCATCAGAGGGAGGACTGCCGGTTGAATAACTACTGGTTGAGGGACTGGTTGTTGAACTTGAAGAACTCGTGGTTGAATAACTGATGGTAGAAGAACTGCTGGCTGGATAACTGCTGGTTGTAGGTGTGCTGGTTGTACGGTTATTGCTGTCTTCATAAATTGTATTATTCTTTGCTATCAAGTCCTCGTCTGGTGAAGTTATGTCCTGACTCCACGTTTCTACCACAAGACCCACCGACAAATCCACGTTTGACTCTTTGATAAGACAAAAGAAGGCAATGACAGTTACAGAGATTATCAAAAGGACAAAAGTTTCCTTTTTGTGGTTAGCGAAAGCTTCTCGGACATCAAATTTCATCATTATGCCTTGGGATTAAGGAATTAGGGAATCAAAGTGTACCTTAAGAAGGGAATATCTAGTCTAACATAAATAAACAGTCACATTTGTGACTTCAACCATATATATGCTTATATGGTTGAAGATTTAACAGGTCGGTATTTTAAGATTAAACCAAATTAGGCTTGAAGTCATAGGAAAAATCAAATAATTTAAATATTTAAATCAAATAATTTAAGTATCTAATCATTATATTAAAATTCAGACACTCAACGAGTCAGAAGAGAACAAGCAGCTCAAATAATTAAATTCAGTCAACTAATAGCACAAGTAGCTTGGATAATTAAAGTTGGTCATCTGAAAATTGTACTCAGCTTTTTGTACAAATTGGAGCTTTTCCACTCATTTCGATGAGACTCGCCTTACACACACAATATGTGATGTTAGGTAGATCCGTTTATTGTCAATGTAATTGTATAGTTTAAAGGTACTGAAGAAAGGATTTACCGCATGGCACCCCAATATGATGTTAGAAACGTGATAATGTAAGTCACCTAGAGAACTCAGGTACCTGCAGTTGTAGGTTTATAACCTACCAAGACGTGCGCCGAGTTGGACTCGTCGACGGTCCTAATATATTTGGAACAAATATTTTACGAGTATCACCCGTTATATTATTAACCTTGCAGCCACTCGGAGCTTCAATTGAAGTAGAATACTTTAAGTGCAATACTTTTTATCATTGTGAGGCTCGGGTTACATGGAATTCCATATTTGCGATGACAATTAAAACACAGCTTAAACTCTTCTAGAGGAAATTCTCGATCAAATTTTTTCAAGCGCAGTGGATTATCAAAAGATCATTAGCTGTTTATTCCACCCTGACACAAAGCTCGAAATAAACGCAAAAGTAAACATATTAACAGTAGGATTGTCAAATCATCCTGCAATAACTTCAATATCCCCCGTTTCAAAAGATGATGTTCCAAGAGGCTCCTCGGCTTTTGGCTCGATGAAATCATCGTTCACTAGCTCTGCACCTTAAGTATTGTACTAAAATTAGTTTCAAAATAATGTCAATTGTACTAGAGCAGTCCATAAATAATTTGAGGAGCACTCTATTCCTATCTTCATCGCACTGAATCCCTAAAACTTTAACGTTTTCAATCACACACAATTCATATTGACATGTTTGCACAATGAAAAAGGGCAATTTACAGAACTTACCTTCTGGTATTTCCATGATGAATTCATCGTCAGGTAATTCAGATGCGGATACCACACAAGCAACTACAAGCAAAGATAGGACAATCACAAACAACCTCATCATACGAAGTTAAACGAAATACTTTGTAAATTGTGAAAGCAAGACGATTAAACGTTAAATATCAAAATAATTATAATACATAACTAGAACTAGTGTATAGTTTTCCTTTTTACAAGGTGGTTAACAAAAAGTCTTCACCAGAATATAACACACATAACACCGACACGAACAGGGATTATATTTCAACTTAATCCGCGGCGCGCGGGATTGTTATGAAAATAACTCCGATTTAGGTAGCACGAGGGGTTCAGTAGTGCAACGTTGCATGTTGGCGCCCCTCGTGCCCACAGCGCCCCTCTTTTGGTGTTCCCTCGCTTCTTAAACTAAATGGGTAAAATTGGAACTTACCAACTAGTCCAGCGTAGGTGAGTTTACCGTATCCAGGAATATCGTAAACCCCTCCACACCCGTCCACCCTTTCCTCCTCATCACACCTGTACAGAATGTAGTTCAGATCGTACAGATCCAGACTCGAACACACGATGTCCAGCTCCTGCGGGGAAGAAGAAGGATAAACTTTATATCTTCTTTTGTTATGCGTGAAAACTATGTATATTGTATGTATATGAAAACTGGATGTAAACTGAAAGTAAACACTAAAATAAATGTATGTTTCTCAGTAAACTAACCATAGCAAATGTATGCTTATCAAGGACATAGGAGTTGAAGTAGTTTAGAGCATGCTGGGCGAGTTTGCCAGGGTGAACAAGTATAGCTACCACACATCCTGTATATGAAGGAGAAACGAGATGATAAGTGCTAAATCATTGCTATACAATCTAACTTTGTATCTTTTATTTCTCCTGCATTATTCAATTGGATAAAACTAATGAAAATTAAATTAGTAAATCGAATAAGCTAATTATTAACACAAATTAGTTAATGCGCGGAACTGCCTACCTGGTGAGAGTACGAAAGAGAGTTCAAGTTTTTCCTCGCTTCTTGAGACTTTAACCATGTTGCTGGACTCGGGGTTCTCTCTAACGTTAACCTCTACCCTGGAGAATAGTTAAAATAATAAAATAGTAAAACTAAATATAATATACCTTTATTCCACAGGCAAGCTTGTTGATTTCATTTATTTAAGGCTTAATTACACTAATTGGCTAATTGGTATTCGTGTTCTCAACGTTTTTAATGGTTATTGGCTTATCAATGTGAATATTATGTTACACTGTCAAAGACTACTGAGAGGATGCATAAAATGGGGCACCGCAAAACAACTCATGGAATCCCCTACAAATTGTGGAAAATATCTTAAAAAGATTCAGTCGCCAAGACGAATTGTAGGTGTCGCGCGATAAGGATTTTTACTTTCGTGATAATGTTTACATTTATGAGAATTTTATCATTATATAGGAATCTCGCCAGATAATTGAACATTCCTTATTCCATGAAGATGTGTCGCAATTTAATTCTATGGACTAATGGACTATTATCTGTTAACAATTTCATCCATTTGTCAACTCTTTTCATTGATAAGTAGTCAAGGAATTTCATCTTATGGCTTTTGATTTGATTGGTTTTACTGAAAATTTCATGTGTAAATCTCATTTGATAAGTGGAATAAATAAATCATCCTTTGGTAAGTTATTCAATAACATGTATCACTACTGTAGATTAGTATTAGTATCACTGTAGAATCAAGATATTCGAGAATAAGTTTGGTGATTAGCATTTAGCGCGTGGACGAAAAAATAAATAAAAACTCGGTATTCGTCAGCATCGCACAGGAATTATCTACAAAAGTTTACGCCCATGACAAGTCTGCTCACATGATCATTATCTCTGTAAGATTTAATGTTTGCCTCGTACTGTGATCCTCCGGGTTGGTGCTGGTTCAACTGCTGAGCGTCCCAAACTTCTCAGAACCATTCCCCTGAACTTCTTGAATCGTACTGCATATATAATAGGGTTGAAGAGGACCTTAAGGGCTGTGAAGAGGAACTGGCTGACCACAACACGGTACCAATACAGTACTGGGTTCTGTTTTAAAAGGGTTTCCAACTCTAACCAATCAGCAGTGTCCAAGAAGAGCTGGAGGATGAGCAAGACAAAACAGGGCAAGTTACAAACAAGAAATACTGATGTAAATAAAGTTATCGTGACTGTCTCTTCCCGCGTGTCCTTCTCCCTGTGGTTCTTCTCTCCAGCTAACAGCACCACTGAAATCACCATGAAGCATACGAAGATAACCACAACCATCACCAGTGTTAACACAGGAAGGAGAAGGAGATAGTACACCCAGCTGTCACCTGGAGGAGCTACACCAGGTACCACAGTACAACTGCTATCATATGATCTGTACCTGAACTCCACCTCACCTGACCACGTGCACACAAACTGAACCGCTAGCAGCACTCCACCAAACAAGATACCCACCTTTATAACTGACAGCTTGTTGATCTTGTAGTGGGGGAGAAGCAGGGTGAGACACCGCGTTATTATTATCATCAGGACGCTGAACACGGAGACACGTTGAGAGAAGTAGAAGAGTATAGTCCAGATACCACAGAAGATGTGGCTGTTAAAAAGAGTTGGGGATCGTGTGTTAAAGAGGGATAGAGCCACGGGAAAGAGAATACAAGATAAGCAGATATCTGTAACACTGACGATAATGAGCAGAGTCAGATAGAGGGACTTGTTTCTGTTTTGACAGAAGTAGGTGAAGGCGGATAGATTTCCAGCCAGCCCTGCCAGCAAGCAGATCGTGATAATTGTTCCGATGATAATGTCAACTGTTGCGTCAAAAGAGTGACTGGTATTTTCACTGGTATGGAGGCATGTTATATAGACCACGTGCCTGGGAACACTCATTCTCTCCTCTGTTGAGCTGTCACACATATCTCCGAACACTCAATCTCTAACAGGGTTAATTAATTAATTAATTAATTATTTAATTCATGCTAGTGGAGTATATTTAGAGACATTAATAAATTAAGATAAATCCTCAAATATAAAGTACAAATAACAATTAATACAGTTTTTTTTAAATATAGATAGTCAACTGTGAACTGCAAATTATCTTGAAGATAACACTTCTGTGTCGCAGAATTACACAAAATTAGCATGTGAAACTATCAGACAAATAACTTTGCAACAATAAACAAAGTGTTTCGAACATGTGTATTGTGTAGTCAAACAACGAGAGATGCTAACTTACACATGGAAACGAGGTATCTCGAGGCGACCCGCTTCTGACCTGCTTGAGTCACGAGCGGGTCACATTATCGTTTTCATGTGTTATACATGACTATAACCATCAATCTTAAGATTGTACACTGGATTATATTGGGGCGACAGAGCTGCATAGTGCATCATTACTGACTTGTCGATTTCATATCAAATGTCAGCTACCGCTCATCACAGAGATGCTAATTTAAAGCAAAACACATTGTTATCACACGAGGGAGAGGATGACAATACAATATATTGTTAATACACAATTACACTGTTACATCTGGACTATTACCATCAATTATCATCTATCATAGATCACAACGTAAAGCTAGGAAAACATAATTGTGATCTTTAGGAGTTGGGGTTAGTTACACCTGCACGAGGAATGTTCCTTGTTGTGTTTGAAGGTACGGAATCACTCAGGTATGCGAATATTAATTTGTAACATGCCGTGGGAACACGTTAAACTCATTAAATAAGTTAAAAAGGGTAAATTCTTTGCGTTTACGAGTACATGTTCGGTATCTGTACCAAACTGTGTTACTTTATAAAGTAAGACAGAATAAACAGTTACAACTTACAAGCTTTCGGGAATGAGAGCTTGTTCATGTTGTAGCGCGGGGAAAACAGGTCCTATTATTATTATTGAATAAGTGCAAAAGAACATTTATAACATTTAAAGAAAATATTTTAGAATATTTTTTTTTCCGGACACGACATTAGCTATGCGAAGGAACAAAGTACTATGATGTCTCTATTTCAGTTTACTAAACTTTTCTTATATTGGTTATGAAATACTATAGTTCTGTATTGTACTTAAATTTCAGTAGAACTACGGATCAAGTTCCCCGGACCAGTTTATCTCCAAACACAGAATGACAGAATGGTTGTCGGAAGTAAATAAAGCTCATACGCCTTCTCGTAGATCAAAGTATTGAATAAAAAACGCTGTATCCTGAAAAATATTGCTTTTATAAACTATGAGAAAGTTTGGGAACAAGTTAAACGCATACCTCTTAATAAGACAAGATATATATAGGACCAGACTCATGATTAGTGAAGCCCACTGCCCAGGTAGTCTCAGTCTTAATGTAAAATTGTAGCTGCTTGGCTGCATCAAAGCAGCTATTAACTTATTAAATAAACTCGATGTATGCCATAGGATCAAAGCATGTTGTTGCAGATCAAAGTATCAAATATATAAATATACAAATAAATAGCAAAGGCGTACGGGGCTTTTGCAGAAGAGTAGCTAAGGACTTAGAAAAGTAATAATAGGTGTTTAAGTGATAGCTTTGGGTAGTAATAGATTTAATATAAGATATTGGGGGGAAGGGAGCTAATTATAAATAAATAATTGCATAATAAGGACATGTAGAATATTTAGTATAATATTTATTTAAAGATGTAGAATATTTACTTTTCCGGAGACAAGCCAACACGTGGTACTACTGACTAGATGAAGTAACAAAGGACAGTGATGTCTCTATTGAAGTTCACTGAAGATGATAAACTATGATTGTTATATCCAGTACACGTTGGGGAGCTTTTCTTAAAACCCGGCTCCTATAATCTCCCGCACTGTAATATAAGGCATATTCAACATACCATGCTTCCGAGCCAAGCACTGGCAATTACGCGTGCAATAACGTGCGAGGTCCGGTACAGTGGGAGTTCTTTATTTTTACTGTCAATCTGATATATTTTTAGAAATTAACTACACTAAGAGTAACTCTCCAGGCTGGCAGAAGATTATAACTACAACAAAGTTGAGTGCAGAAGGATGTAACTATAACAAGACAGGAGCCAATACCACTACAGATAAGTCACGTGATACATACCATTACCAGCATACCTAGATGATTACTAAGAAGAGACTCTTACCTACTACAAACCGATAATATCTTCATTGTGGTGCGGCTACTTACTCGGTCATGTCATTATCTGTACTGTTAATTATCTGAAGATGACAGTTGCTTGGCAACAGGTTTATGAAAATGACTAAGCGAGCAAGAACTGATTACATGAATAATGATTGGGCCGAATTTAATTAGTTTTCGCGTATTTTTGGTAAATCGTTATGCAAATTAATATCAATTAAAAGTCAATTCGATCTTTTAATGTATAATCGGCGAATGAACTGGACTCAAACTCTACTTATGAGAAATCAACAGACTATTGAGTATTAACAGCAGCACTATATTATCTAGATGCGCCTACTAAAGTACTACTAAGTAAGGTATCAGAAATCTCCTATGTTGCCCGATACAACTTATGAATAAGATTGAGCTGTTCTGAGATGATATATGTTGATTGTCTGATACAAAACTAAGGACCTTGCGATAAAAAGATCGCTCAATATAATCACGCGTAAATTTGAAATTTGGGATGAGGTATGGAGTAAACCTAATTAATCACTGAATATCAAGAAAATTTTGTAATACTCGGTGTTTCTTACCACGATTCATTATGAAAATTCAGCAATAGGTCGTGAAACATTGACAAATATTATGAGAATTCGCATAATATGCGATTTTTAATAAAATCACCAGTTTCTGTTACCAAGGACAGTTTTGAGCGCAAATTATATTGAAATTCTTACTCAAGGTTTACACAAATACAGACCAGGTGGTGATATAAAGTTTTCGCATCAAAATAGCAATGGGAGCAAAGTCTTTTTGGCCCTCTTTTTTGATATGTAATTTGTCGACCGGACAAAAATGACATATTATAACAAAACTTAGAACAAAAAAGACAAACAAAAGTGAAATGCTCAAATAATGAACAAATCCTTCCAGCTAACATGTCATTTTACTCAAAATGTGTTATTTATATCACTATTATTTATACGTACACTGTCAAATGAAAGGTGTTACTAGTTTGACTTTTAAACACACTTGATATAACAGTGCCAATGTTAAGGTTAAGCTCGGATCTTAAGATTTCTAGTTCAGCTAGTGGGTCATGTTCAATTTTAGCCTGTTGAATTGTTAAAATTGCGATCAATTTTGCACTAAAAATAGGACAGCAAAATCCGAAAACTACCATGCCGATTTAAATACGAATAATATAAGTCATGCGAGTACTCGGTTGAATTCTAATTTCTATTGGGTCCTGTTTGATTTGGTTCCTTCCGATTGGTTCCCATAAATACGATTAAATGCGACTTTTTGGGTGGGCAGTTAAGGGAAGTTCAGGTTAAAATCATATGGAGTATGTACTATGTGTCTGACGCTACTTTAAAAGTTAATACGCTTCATATTTAAAAATCATTACAAACATTTGGTTTGCTTCGGTTGAACAGATTAAATGAAAATCATGGTTATTAGTTGCAAACCTTAAAGGGGGGGGGGGGGGGGGGTTCACCCTGATTTTTTTGTGAAACTTAGTTTCGAGATAGCAGTTGACCAACAAACTAGGACCGGTGACCGAACTTTTGAGGGGGTCCCGGACCCCAACCGCCAAACGGTGCCTGCGGGGCAGCCACGCCCATATTTGATCCAAATTAGGCCCAATTTAGCCAAATACCCTGAACATGCCCAAAACCCAGATTTTAGGTGCTCTACTTGTAGCTAGTGGTCCCCTGAACTCGTATTTGAATTTTCATCAAGATTGGACAAAAAATGACTGAGTTATGAGCCAAAAACCATATGACCATATTTGGGCATACGCACCAAATTTGATCGATTTTGGCCCATAAATTGGTCAAATATCAATATTTTTGAATGAAACCAACTTTATATGGAAGATAAGCCTATACTACAGATTCTCTATGATTATCAGCTCAATATCTACCTAACTGTGGATTCTGTGTTCAAATAGTTGCAAAAAATGAACAAAATCGCCCATATCTCAGTTCGCGATATTTGCAAAACTGACTTCGCTCAAAACAATAGAACTCAATAGGGTTTCAATATTTTTTCATGAAATTTTCAGAATCAACGTAGAATCGCATTTCGACCTTAAGTTTTAATATGGAATTTTGAGTTAGGCCTTTAAAAAAATTGGCGGCCAAATTCTGAAATTTGCCGGGCATTTTTCAGAATTTGGCCGCCAAATTTTTTTAAAGGCCTAACTCAAAATTCCATATGAAAACTTAAGGTCGAAATGCGATTCTACGTTGATTCTGAAAATTTCATGTAAAAATATTGAAACCCTATTGAGTTCTATTGTTTTGAACGAAATCAGTTTCGCAAATATCGCGAACTGAGATATGGGCGATTTTGTTCATTTTTTGCAATTAATTGAACACAGAATCCACAGTTAGGTAGATATTGAGCTGATAATCATAGAGAATCTGTAGTATAGGCTTATCTTCCATATAAAGTTGGTTTCATTCAAAAATATTGATATTTGACCAATTTATGGGCCAAAATCGATCAAATTTGGTGCGTATGCCCAAATATGGTCATATGGTTTTTGGCTCATAACTCAGTCATTTTTTATCCAATCTTGATGAAAATTCATATACGAGTTCAGGGGACCACTAGCTACAAGTAGAGCACCTAAAATCTGGGTTTTGGGCATGTTCAGGGTATTTGGCTAAATTGGGCCTAATTTGGACCAAATATGGGCGTAGCTGCCCCGCGGGCACCGTTTGGCGGTTGGGGTCCGGGACCCCCTCAAAAGTTCGGTCACCGGTCCTAGTTTGTTGGTCAACTGCTATCTCGAAACCAAGTTTCACAAAAAATTCAGGGTGAACCCCCAGCCTTAAAGAGCACCTACCCGCAGAGACCGGTTATTAGTTGCAAACCTTAAGGAGCACCTACCCGCAGAGACCGGTTATTAGTTGCAAACCTTAAGGAGCACCTACCCGCAGAGACCGGTTATTAGTTGCAAACCTTAAGGAGCACCTACCCGCAGAGACCGGTTATTAGTTGCAAACCTTAAGGATCACCTACCCGCAGAGACCGGTTATTAGTTGCAAACCTTAAAGAGCACCTACCTGCAGAGACCGGTTATTAGTTGCAAACCTTAAGGAGCACCTACCCGCAGAGACCGGTTATTAGTTGCAAACCTTAAGGAGCACCTACCCGCAGAGACCGGTTATTAGTTGCAAACCTTAAGGAGCACCTACCCGCAGAGACCGGTTATTAGTTGCAAACCTTAAGAGCACCTACCCGCAGAGACCGGTTATTAGTTGCAAACCTTAAGGAGCACCTACCCGCAGAGACCGGTTATTAGTTGCAAACCTTAAGGAGCACCTACCCGCAGAGACCGGTTATTAGTTGCAAACCTTAAAGAGCACCTACCCGCAGAGACTGGTTATTAGTTGCAAACCTTAAAGAGCACCTACCTGCAGAGACCGGTTATTAGTTGCAAACCTTAAAGAGCACCTACCCGCAGAGACCGGTTATTAGTTACAAACCTTAAGGAGCACCTACCCGCAGAGACTGGTTATTAGTTGCAAACCTTAAAGAGCACCTACCTGCAGAGACCGGTTATTAGTTGCAAACCTTAAGGAGCACCTACCCGCAGAGACCGGTTATTAGTTGCAAACCTTAAGGAGCACCTACCTGCAGAGACCGGTTATTAGTTGCAAACCTTAAAGAGCACCTACCCGCAGAGACCGGTTATTAGTTGCAAACCTTAAGGAGCACCTACCCGCAGAGACCGGTCATTAGTTGCAAACCTTAAGGAGCACCTACCCGCAGAGACCGGTCATTAGTTGCAAACCTTAAGGAGCACCTACCCGCAGAGACCGGTTATTAGTTGCAAACCTTAAGGAGCACCTACCCGCAGAGACCGGTTATTAGTTACAAACCTTAAGGAGCACCTACCCACAGAGACCGGTTATTAATTGCAAACCTTAAGGAGCACCTACCCGCAGAGACCGGTTATTAGTTGCAAACCTTAAGGAGCACCTACCCGCAGAGACCGGTTATTAGTTACAAACCTTAAGGAGCACCTACCCGCAGAGACCGGTTATTAATTGCAAACCTTAAGGAGCACCTACCCGCAGAGACCGGTTATTAGTTGCAAACCTTAAGGAGCACCTACCCGCAGAGACCGGTTATTAGTTACAAACCTTAAGGAGCACCTACCCGCAGAGACCGGTTATTAGTTACAAACCTTAAGGAGCACCTACCCGCAGAGACCGGTTATTAGTTACAAACCTTAAGGAGCACCTACCCGCAGAGACCGGTTATTAGTTGCAAACCTTAAGGAGCACCTACCCGCAGAGACCGGTTATTAATTGCAAACCTTAAGGAGCACCTACCCGCAGAGACCGGTTATTAGTTGCAAACCTTAAGGAGCACCTACCCGCAGAGACCGGTTATCAACTCTTTGTGAGGATTGAAAGATCCTTTGCCTCGTATCTCTGTCTCCAATAACACGTCCACTTTATCACCTGATCCATTTACTCATCACTAGTATAAATATTCAAACATAGCTTATCCAAATATAAAATCTATTTTAAAAAGGGGCGAGTGAGGTCGGAGGAAGCTCACAGCAAAAAGCTTAACAAAACGAAAATTCATATTTTCCAATTTCTGTCCCATTTTCAAATATGAAAATTTCACAAATTGGATCGAATTTTTGCCAGCCAAAAAAAAAGTTCAATCTTCTCGATTTAGATGGCTAATGGACGTTCATATCCTAATATCTAAGCTCACGGAGAAATAAATAATGAGTTCTAATGATAAACAATTAAAAGTATTATTATTAAAACCAACCAGGTAGATTAACCGTATGTTCACTAGTCTTAGTAAAGGTATCACTCCAACAAGTTGCTATGACAACCAATACTTTGCTGCACGTTACTGGGTGATGTCTGGTTACTATGACTACATCTTCTGTTGCCTGGTCCACAAACGTCTGAAGTCAGGATTCAGTTATTGCAGGTTATCTACTTCTGAATAGTACTCAATCGTTATCAGTAATACTGTCAGTGGATTAACACATTTTAAATACAAACCTCAGAATATCCGTTGTCTTCAAGCCACTGGTGTAGTTTAATGAGAGCACGTTTTGCTGGCTTTATAGCATCTTCATGAGACTGTCTTACTCCTTGATACTGACGTTCCTACGGCGTAAAAATTACGGGAAAATTGGCTTTGATTTATAGTAAGTTATTATAAGTTAGACACGTCATGTAAATGAAACATTATCTAATTATTGGGGGAGATCCCCAATATGTTATATTGAGGCTCTGTAAAGTTTTAACAAACCTCCTGCACGACATGAATGTGGTGAGGTATTAGCTCGTCGTAACCACGGTTACTGCCAATACTGCACTTTGCTGCACACATCAAACCTGGGAATGATTTTTCGTTTTCAAATTGAAATTTTGAAAAAACGAGTGATTTAAATCAAGCACTCTTTTTTCATCTGATGCCACAAAATATTTAAATATCGGAAATTTTAATGACCTTTATTTGAATCTATTATCTATTGTACTGCAATAGCATGATAACAATACAAAGTGACGGTAGATAAAGTTACTATTGAATTGGGTGTTATCTCACCAGATAAAGCCAGAACATTGGGGAGGGGATGCTCATCAAAAGGGCACGGGTTATCGTGAGTTTGATCCATCAGCATAGCGTGAGGATGAGACGAAGCCATGCGTAGGGCCGGCAGAGAGTTCACAGCTTGGTCGGAGGGCAGGTTATTGATGAAACTGCCGCAAGGTTTGCTTTCTCCATAGTGGTGTATCAGATCTGCAAGTTGCCGAGGTGAACCAGACTTACTCAACTCTGAAATAGTTTGAGTTATTACATAAGTTAATCCTGCTCTGACAACTTAATATCTTCCTAGAAGACCGCCTTAACTAATCTTCATACAAATTTAACTGTTAACTATTAAGGAGTGACAGCTATTCGTTTAACTTGTTGATTATGAACTACACTAATATTTCTTGAGAATTACCTCTGACACAGGAGCTGATGCCCATTCTGTTGATGATCTCACAGTCCTTGTCCTCACATCCGGTGAACAGTTCTGCCACTACGTACAGGTTAGGACGGACACGGCGTGCCGCGCGCAACAGCTCTTCCCCTGAGTAGGAATTATTAGAAATGATTTTATGCAAATGAGCAGATTTTAAGAACAGGTTCTATGGTGTAATGGTTAGCACCTTGGACTTTGAATCCAAAGATCCGAGTTCGAGTCTCGGTAGAACCTCTTTTAATTTGAAAATTCATATCAATAAAGTCATGATCTCATCCTATTTAGATATCATATTCGTGTATACATAATTTGTTTCATGCACATGTTCATATGTTGCCGGTTGTTACGTGATATTCCAGTTCATTTTCTGGGATGTTTAGATGAAACGCTGATGATTTTATCTTCATCAAAATGGTGTTGTCACTTATCAAACATCAATCGTTGATTGATATCAAGAATTAATCCCAGAGCAAAATTAACTGTAACCAAGATTAAGAAGTAAAGAGTCTAAAAGATAGAAGACGATAAAAGTAAAATAACTGATTGAATTAAGAGTTACAATAAGAAGTTCATGGATAGTTCACACATACCAAGTACTAACATACCACAATACACATACCAACATACATACCAACATGTAAGACGGTGTTGTGGCAGTTGTCTATTCTGAATCCATGAAATAACTTTGCCATATCGCAGGTGTACCTAAATTATAAGACAATTGCAAATTTTATGAGATTTAGATATCTTAAAATTGTCTAATTTTAACCCGTATCCTCTCCTTAAAATGAGGACAAGATAAAGTTACTTAGTATTTAGTCGGCAGCTTTATTGAGTTACTTAAAGGTGATTACAGTAAACTAACTTTTCCATGTAATTCCAGAGCCAAGGAGCATCTTGTCTGGAGTTCCCAAATCGTAACTTTATACTATCACCCCAAATGACTATCTCTCGCTTTGTGTAAGCCTGAAATCAATCAGCTAATTTCACTAACATGACTAAGATACGAATTTAATACCATTTAATCTAATGGTCGAGTTCTCCAGTTTTGCAGTGATACTTACTACTCAGCATTCTATGATTAGTGAACAGTAAATTACCATGGTTTTGCTCATATCAGAAATACTTTCGCCGGTGGTCCAACCGTTGCAAGTTTTAATCCTCTCGGCATCAAGTCTGTCGTAGATATCTAGTTCTTTCTCCTTGTCAAATGAAATATCCGATATTTGGAAATACCTGGACATTTTGGAAATTAAATAATCGTAGTGAATGGTACGATGATTGGCAGGACAAAGCAATGTTTGATTTATGGGAATCAAAAGTCTCTATCACAGACTAAAATCGAGACTAGTTACCTTTCAACCAGAGGGACGTCTCCGAATTGATGTCTTGGACCGTTTTCATCAATAAATCGGTATTTCACATCACCGACTACAGCTGTGGTCACTTTACTGATGACATCCTGAGCGGCAGCTGGTGCTACGAACTCGTTAAAGAGACTAATCGCTGTTACAATCTGAGAATTCTGTTCTGGTATCGAGGTAATTTCACTGAAATAGTAACCATGTGATAGTTTGGTGAATTCCAGTCTACACTGTATATGTTATGAACGTACGTGATGCGCGCAAACGTCTACAAAATAAACTGAGCGCGATCCAAACTATTTTCAAGTAGACCCTTCTAGACACGTTGCCAGTTTACTAATAAAACCAGTTTTGACTAGTTGTTAATGTTTAAAACGGATAAAGCCGAATAACGCCTTAATTTAAGATTAGTCCAGGATTATTATAGCACTTTTCGAGTGAAAACCGGAAACATCACCTCAATTCTACAAAATATTGAAACCGTATAGCTTCACTTACCGATTGGAGAGGAAAGTTCTCAGAAACCCCCCATATCGACCCTGCCACCATACTCCGACTGTGAGTAGTCAACCTTCCACAACTGTTTCACTACATCATCAATATGCGATCTCTTCAAGATTGAATCTTTCAGTGAATCTGTGGTACTTTCTTTGGAGTTGAACATTTTGCCCGCGTCTATTTTGTAGAGTTGTTCCAGTTTACGTGATGTTTCCACCAGATGCTGTAAGCAAAGAAAAGATTTCATGACAGATTTTCAGAATTACTTCGATTTTTGGGAAAAACTTGAAAAACATAACGTAACATCCTACTTTTCAATATAAGTTGATACTTACACTGCTTAGTCTTTTGTAAAAGGAATGGAGGTTTGTTATCTCAGAACTATCTGATAGTGTGAAACTAAACTCGCGAATACTTCTGTCAATCTGAAAAAATTTAAGATAGCAATGCAGTTCTGCATTAAAAACTCATGCACTACTAGTGTTGATATCCAGTACAGGCAATTTGCTAGCGCAGCTTCATTGTTATGTTTCTACAACAGCACAATTCAAGTTACATTATAGCTCATCTCAGCGATTAACTGCTTCGTAAAACTCGCTGCACGATTATCATTAAGTTGTAAAAACAACTTTTGGGAGGAACAAAACATTTCAATTTAGAGATTTGAAAGTATGTAATAGAATATAACATACCAGATACGCGGGAATAAGGTTGGGTGTATTGTGTAGATTGTAATAGGACTCAGGATGTTCTAGAATATCTCTGTTGCCTGAAAATATACAATGAGGTGATTTGTAGTGTTGTAATTAGTTTAAAAGTTTTAAACTAATTACAACACTACAAATCTATTACTTTTATTGCGAACATGAGTATGACGTAAGAAATGTCGATACGTTATTAAGCTATTTTATTTCCATCAGAATCTGTCTCACTAAGTATTAGTAAGTATATTCAGAAACAATCAAAAATTTGAAACGAAAGGGACTATCAAATCATGAGACTCTATATTCTATAAAACTACACGAATCCACCAGATTTAAATAAAACATAAGTTGGAGTGCAAGAATAATACTTAGTATGAGATTTTTTTAGAATCTCCATGTTACTAGGAGACCGGATACGGGAGCGGAGGAAACCAATATTGTTTTAAATATGTTTTAAATATGTTTTAAATATGTTTTAAATATGTTTTAAATATGTTTTAAATATGTTTTAAATATGTTTTAAATATGTTTTAAATATGATTTAAATATATTTTAACGTTGTTGATTTCATATTCTCTCGATTTTTCTGTACCCCAATGACACTGCACGACTAAAGGAATTATTGACAAATGAAACAATAACAAAGTAATCGGAGTGTGCCTGATCCACACCATATTTAAAAATATTTTTTTAACAAATCCCCCTCCAGGAGGAAACGTACGGGATTAATATTATTTCATCTACATCCATCTAGAAACTTCCCAAATTGATTATGGCGCGCTGTTACTGCTAGCTTATATGTAGTAAAAATTTCAAAACACGAAACTCACATACTGATATCACATGGTTCCCACAACATCAGAAGGAAGAACATTCCAGGTTTCTGGTGTAATCTTGAAGATGATCAGGATAACACTTTCAAATCCTTCTCATAACCTGAAATAAGAGATGCTAGTTTTTTTAACAACCAGTCAACCTGGAAACATGCAAGTTTAAACATATAATAGTATAGGTGGTTATTAGGGTCTTTTAGTTAGCGTTTAGCTGGGGATCGTAAAGAAAAATTATAACAAGTGGTAAAAATCAAGTTTTGAGAGGCAAAACTATCTCTGGAAATTTAAAGGATTACTTCGTTACATTGACAAAGATTGTTTTAATCTGTAACAAGATACGAATGGGAAAGATTGAATTAAAACCCAATTAGTTTAAAATGATCTATACAATTTAATTTTCTTGCACGACTCTGCAATCTCACCTTCCAGAGCTATTCAGTTTAACGAGAGCGACGATAGTTTCAGATGAGAGTTTTAAAGAGTAAGATGACCTGCTGATCCCTAGCTCCTGTACTGGCGTCAAATGTACTGTGTTGTACCCGGACTCAAGCTTATAGTGTACTGTTATTACCTCACAATCACATTAAAACAATTAAATAATATTTGTATTATCAAGACCCCTTCTCTTGGGAACGTTGGAAATGTACGAATTTTTAGCACAAAGCCGAAATTCTGTAAGACTAACATAACCGACCCATCAGAATGTTACTAAAAAGTTGGATGCATGATGAAAAGTTTCTACTACATGGTGCTTTGTAGAATTAAAATTCTTACCGAAACAATGAAATCATCCTCCAGTCTCGATGTCTCCACAAATTTGGTGAGGAAGGGATGGGAGGCAGCTATCTGATCAACTTTTCAGACTGGGTAAAGTGCGTGAGATCTGTAGAGTTGGTCATCACGGGTCCGTAAGGACTGTTTATACGTATGACACTGTAATTTTTATTGGTTCAGAGTTTATTAAGAGTTGTAATGTGGTTTGAGATGGGGATGATTGGGAGGTAATCAATGGTGGTTATTTTCACTGTGTTAAATCAATTACGTTTTCAGGTGAAATTAAATTTTCTGTAAATGTAACCTAGTTAACCGTTTAAGTAGGAAGGCAACACACTATTTAGTAATATTAAAATACGCTGCTCAGTTACAAATGCAATATGATTGAATTGTAACGTATTTTAATAAAAAGCACAAGAGCCCTTTAAAAGTAGTTTAAATTTAATTAGTGCTATTTGAAAGAGGGGACGAAACTTTTGTTTTATTAACTGTCATAGAGTGTCTGGTTGCTCGAGGAACTCAACCTAGACAGGGAAGGGATGATTGCTCGAGTACCATGTCTGGATGTTTTTGTGAATCTTATATTGCTGCAATTGGGGACAACATTGTGAAGGATCTTTCACATCATCAGAATAGTGTACCGTTCCCTTCTGTGCTGCAGTGACATTAGCTTAAGATGTGAAAGCCTCTCCCAGTGGTTCATATTTTCCAGACCGCATATACGATCGTAGAATGTTCGCTGGACCCCCTCCAAAAGCTGGATCTCAGTCACCTTAACAGGGTCTCACAGCGGACAACAGTACTCTAGTAGGCTTCTGACCAAACACTTATATAGGGTAGTCATTACGGTCCTATCACGAGTTTTGAAGACACTAAACACCCATAACAGTGTGCTTCTAGCTTTCTTGACCATATTACCGATCTTAAAAGTGTTG